TAAGCATATTCCTTAGGAGATAAGGATTACAATAAATAAGGGGATGATTATCCTAATCCTATAATGATTAGGATAACTACAACATATGGATAAACACAAGGGAGGATAGTGACTGATGCTTGGCCGCCTGATATGGTACTGATGTGGTCTGGTCCATTTCCGGATATGTCCCAACCACCATCTTCATTTCTTAACATATTCAGGTTTTACTAATTTTAAATTGAGTTTTTTGGATCGGATCATAATTAATATCCTAAATCCTTCAAAATTGTTTTTAAATTAACAAAACATATTTAATATCTATAAATTCTTCAAAAAAATCTAATTAAAACTAGTTAAAACCTACATTAAGTAAAAAGTATGTTAAAATAGCAAATCAAACAAACTATATAAATATTTAAATATTCTAAAATATCTTTTACTTATATAAAAGATAAAAATATTAATTTAATTATAGATATTTTGGTTCGTAGTTCGGATTTTGGTTTGATTTGATTTGGGTTATATCCAAACAGGAAATAACCAAGTTTTTAAGTCTTGTTCAGATATTTTGTATAAATATTTGGATGGGAATTTTGTTTTTCGGTTCGGGTCAAGGTTGAGACTTCGGTTTGGATAAAAAAGGCCCAGGCCTAAATCTCTGTTTTGTTATGTTATATTAAGTTCAGTTCCGTTCATGATACTTTGAATCTCTTGCACACTCACCTCATCAGCTAAACAATATAGGAGAATACTTAAACGAGAAAGTTACTCACTGATCTTCTTAAGAACAAAACATGAATCACAAAGTCTGAAATAAAATTCAACGATAAACCCAACATTCTTAATAAGCGAAATAGCCTGATTTTCCTGAGGCAGCCAAATCTGAACTGGTCCTTGCAAAGGAAGGTATAACTCCTATACGAGCTTTCTTCTTAAGCCAATGACCAACAGCCTCAAGACCAAGATACGAAAACAGTACAGCCAACGCTCCACCAGCAACGGCCACAATGGATGGGAACAACCATCGTGTTCCATGGTAATGCGGTATGGTCACCCAAGATGCTGCAACATAAGCAGTGGCCATGAACCCTACAGAAACCCACATCATCCTATGTGTGGCCACCAGTAACCTCTTCAAGGGTTTCCTCTTGTAAGGTATGATGCTAACGAGAAGAATCACGATGGCCAAGGACGTGAAGAGTGCGATGTTGTTGCATATCGCAAAGACTTTAAACGCTATCGTTTTACCCACTATGGATTTGCCTCTCCATGGACCGTCTTGGTAGACGCCTCCTGGAGGGTTTATTCCACCCGCATAAGCAACTGAAGCAATTAATACCGCCACTATAGTAATCGTGTTTCTAGCGTTTTGTAACGCTTCTATGTACATGTCATATTCCAAGCTCTCGTGACCTTTTCCAACTTCACGTCCCTTGCGTAGCTTTCTCTCTGCCATCGCTGATGTGTTTTCTTCGATTAGTCTCAGCAACTGTATTACCTCATCTTCTTCAGGAGTTTTGCGTATCTCTGAAGGTTTAAAGCATGACCGTTCTGGTTTACTACTGATCAATGGACTAGGTAGGTCTAAGTATACTTCATTGCTCTCAGTATCCAGCTCGTCTGAAGTCTCGATTTCAAACCTCAGCCAGCTTGATATCAACTCAAAATCTTGAGCATCATGGGGGAGAAGGTAATAAGCTGCAGAACCCATCTTGTTCTTCTTGTTGATATCTACTATCTTCGTACCAATAATGTAACGAATAAACTGCACCAAATAAGAATATGTGAGAATATGACACTGCTTAAACTTAACGTTGGATTATTCCAACTTAGAAGTGCTTTGGGTTTATGTAAAGGATAGGGACAAAGAAAAATGCTCACTGGAGCACCACAAGCCACGGATGCAGCTGTGTGTAAGACAGTGTTGCCATTTTCATCTCCTTGCTGCAAAAGAATCTGGCCGTTACTTCCCAAACGCTCTGCCATGAAAACAAAGGCATCCATGTTATTGTTTCTTGCAGCCAGATGAAAGACGGTCTCTTTTGATGGGGTGAGAGAGATGAAAGACAATGGAGCCTTGTTCAAGAACTCCTCCAGGATTACAACCGAGCCTCTGAGGACTGCCAGGTGCAGAGGTGATAAACCGTTGGTGTTTAGAGCTTCATCTAGTCTTTGATCGAGCCCTAACAATATTCTTGTTAATTCAAGGTCTCCTTTGTCACACGCATGATGTAATAGCGTTGATAGCGAGCCGCCTTGGACAGGCCAAGCTTCCTCCCTAGCTAAGTCTGGGAATCTCTCCAGTATAATATTTGCAACACCTGACAATAATCACAACACAAGAGTGAGCTAAATGTAATGATACTAAATTAATGGGAGCAAAGAACACAAAAATGTATGAGACTTTATTTAGCACTATGTTAAAAAGAAAAACTATATTTTTTTTAAACAAAGAAATAGCACTCGTAAATAATAGATTACCCATTTCAAAATGATTTATATTTTAGAAAAATAAACATTTCAAAATGATATTTCTTACATTCTCAATATATTTTTATTAGGTAATACTAGTAAACTGTAAACTTTGAAGAAATTAATTATGTTCACTTAATTTTGATAGGTTAAAAATTAGAAAAAAAAATAGTTAATCACAAAACAGTGCATTTATAATCAAAATTTAATATGTTTTATTAATTTGTATAAATACTCTAAAACATACATTTTGAAATGAAAGAACAAAGAAGTATACAAACTAGTATTGTGTTAATAGAGATCATGTTATATATCTTAGTCCAAAATATCCTTCTCAACCTTTCTAGATTGTTCTCGATCTCCCAATAAATGACTTTTATACAAGATGAAATGAGTGTACTCAAGTAACTTACATGTGGATCCACTTGATATGGCATATTTGAGTTCACCAAGATCAACTGAATTTGTCTTTTCCGCAATGAGTTTGGCAGCCTCCATGGAAATGCTACGGCAAGCTAAGTGTAGAGGTGTGTCATTGTTGTTGTTTCGTGCAGTACACGCTTCTACTCCAGTCTCTAACATCTGCATTACTATGTCCACGTCTCCAAGGAGAGCAGCAAGATGCAACGGTGTGTTTCCCTCCGCGTTTAGCGAACAAACTAGCGAAGGTCGGTGATCAATGATCTTGGAGACGAGTTNGAAATGCTACGGCAAGCTAAGTGTAGAGGTGTGTCATTGTTGTTGTTTCGTGCAGTACACGCTTCTACTCCAGTCTCTAACATCTGCATTACTATGTCCACGTCTCCAAGGAGAGCAGCAAGATGCAACGGTGTGTTTCCCTCCGCGTTTAGCGAACAAACTAGCGAAGGTCGGTGATCAATGATCTTGGAGACGAGTTCTCCGTGACCAAGCTTCACAGCCACGTGTAAAACCGTGTCGTTCAGGTGTTCCTCATCGGTTCTCTCCTCCAGCGAGGATCCTCTCTCTTCTACCAAACTCAGAAAAGCTGGAAGGTCATTTTGAAGTATAGCATTGAAGATTGGCTGCATTTTTTTCTCAAGATAGAGCAAAGGAAACTCTTACACTGAGAGGGGAGATCCAAAGTGGTTACTACAACATCTTTGTTTATATTGGACTTAACGTAGACTATGAGAGTTCTCATTTAATTTTGGCTTCGGAGTCTTTCTTTTTCAGTATTTCATATACATCATTTATGACTTAATACTGGTGCGTAGCTGTAGGTATAGTTACTGCAATGTTAAAATTCTCATTTTTATTGACTTTGTTTCCGTAAAACTTTGATAATAGCCATGTGCTTATAAAACGTTTTAGATTTTAAAAACAAAAGGGCAGAGGGGCTCGAGGATAGTCACATGCCGATGGATCCTCTAGTCTCTTTCTCATTCATCCATGCATTTAGCTAAATCATCTTTAACGTAGGGGTGCAAATCATCCATATAACGTAATCGACATAAAACCAAACTGAATTCTACTTAAAAAAACCTAATTCGATTCAGAACTTTCTCATAACACAAGTAAAGAAGAAGAAAAAATTAATAATCAAATGTATGTACATTGAACTGACTAGCAAGCTAGCAGCTCCTTGTCATTATTAAACGTTAAGCTCATGAGCTTCAACCAAGAACTCTTTTAAGGTCATTCTTCTGCTCTGAAGTAAGCCTTGAAGGGAACAAGATCTCAAACTTGACTCTCAAGTCTCCTCTTTTCAAAGGCTCTTTAGTAGGCATTCCTTCGTTCGGTATCACAATCTCATGACCCGGTTTAACAATATCCAAAACCGGGATCGTTAAATTCCTCCCGTCAAGAGTCGTTAAGCTAACGGTGACTCCGGTTAAAGCATCTATCAAAGAGACTTTCTTCTCAAAAATCAGATCATTACCGTCTCTTGTGTAAACCAGATGCGGCTTCTCGTCCACAACGAAGGTGAGATCAGCAGGTGTGACACCAGGTTCTTGGTTGCCTTTCTCAGGGAATGTTATCTTGGTGCCTTTCTTCCAACCTGGTTTTATGTCTATCTTCAAAATCTCTTGTACTGTCTTTGGCTTCCTGTAATAAACACATCATCAGAAAGGACAAGAACTAAATCTCATACTGTTCCATAGGCATGTGAGTTCGGTTAGTTTGGGTTACTCGGTTTAGGTAGTTCGGTTCAACATAAATCTTACTGAATTAAACCGAAATAAAATTTTGTTTGGTATTGGATTAGTTTGGTTTTCAAAAATTCTACAAAAGTTTTGACTCCAGTTATATTTTGGTTCAGTTTTGTTATATTTTTAGATAAAATAGGTTATTTGGATTCAAAATTTGGTTAGTTCGGTTTGGGTTTTTGGTATGGTCTGCGTATAAATGTTTTTTAAGAAGAAAACCGAAGTAACCTATTACCGACCGAACCAAAAACCGATTTTTTAATAAAACTACCAAATCAAACCAAACTTCTAACCGGACTAACCAAAAAAAATTCAGTTTGGTTTGGCGGTTCGGTTCGGTTTAAAATCACAGGCCTACGTGTTCCACAAACAAGATCACTCACAGAAGAGTAAAGAAACTAACCCAAACTCATCAGGAACAAGACGAGAGATTCTCATCTTCTTCTTCCCACCTTTATAAAGCTCCTCAAGCGTGCAAGCCAACGTTCTCTCTATATCCGGCGCCTTCCTACTCGCCGCCACCGGCTTCTTCTTGCTCGCCTGGTTCCCCCCTCCACGTGTCCTCTCTCCGAGGCTTGTATCCCCGAAGAACTCAGCGAAGATATCTTCAGCATCACGTGGATAATACCGAAACTCAAAGTCACGACGAGACGAGTTACTCCTCTGCTTCGCCGCCGCCGCTGCCGCCGTCTCCGCCGCAGAAGGTGGATCAGAAGACTTTAGTCCTTCTTCAACGTGCTGATCGTAGATCTGACGTCTGTGAGGATCGCTGAGGACGTCGTAAGCTTCGGAGATCTGTTTGAACTTGGCTTCAGCTTCTTTCTTGCTCGTGGGGTTCTTGTCGGGGTGATACTTCATGGCGAGTCTCCGGTAAGACTTCTTGAGATCATCTTCGGTAGCGTCTCGCTTCACCTTGAGCACATTGTAGTAATCAACACCCATTGAATCCTAAATCTTTCACAAAAATAAAATAAAAAAAAGTCAAAACAGAGATCAAATCGAGAGAACAAAGAGTGGAAATGGAATGCTAGAACATGTGACGGAGATGAGAATGTGAAAATATAGTCTTTTTAATGGAGCCACGTGGCGTTTTTTTACTGTCGGCTTATCTTTTGACTGGATGGTGATTTATCGATATGGTAAGAAGGTGATCAGATACTTTCCCATTTTAATTAGAGGGAATATACTCTTTGAGGGATTAAAACGGAAGTTAAAATATTCAGACAAGTAAACATGGAAGCAAACATTCATGGTTTAGTTACGTAGTTAAACCAGAGACAGTTATTATAGATTTATTTTTTATACTAATTATTATTGTTACCTTTTCTGGCCGACAAACGGAAAACGCAAACAATAATCAAACCGAACCAAACCACTATTAACTCAATAATGTATTGTAACCACTAACCAAAATGTGCTTATTCTAATTTCTACGCCAGACAAGAATTAGCTGAATTGAAGAACTACCAATATATTGTTTTCTTACTATTAGTTTTTGGATACATTCGTAATTAACATCCTAGTAAACCAATTTCAAAACTTCCACAAACCGATGGATTATATTTGCTAATCTTGCAAAAAAAAAATTGTTTTCTTAACTTTCTAGCTCTTAAGGAATCAATCAATCAATCAACTTGTTATAATTCTATTTGATGATGATACTAAAATGGTGATGTATATCAGTCAACTCCTTGAGATTATTAACATACTTATAAAATTATAAAAAAAATGAAATCTTACTCATAAAAAATTGGAATATCATTACAACTTTTAAAAAAAATCTAATTAACAACTGATTTGCATAAAAAAAGGGAAAAAAATAAAATAAAAGATAAGGATCCAAATAATAAGCATATTCGTACGTCACTCCGGCCAAACCGTTCATTATGTTAATGCCAAGGACGTGGAAACGATAACGCATCACGGTGAGCCCTACGCGCTTTCTGAGTCAAAGGGACTCTGTCTCCTGGATCCAAATTTGCCTCCTTCTCCTTCGCAACCCTAACAACAAACACATCATTCACCTCCTCCTCAACGTAAATCTTCTTGTGTGTTTTCAATCCTTCTAGTTCTGTGTTTTTGATTAGGTTTTAGACAATGGAAGCGAGAGCAAGAGGATCAATGTCGTCGAGCATCGGCGACTCCGCAGAACTTGAAGCCAACCTTACACTAAGTGATCGTCTTAAGGTTTTCAAGGGCTCCACGTTTGATCCCGAGGCTTATGTCACCTCCAAATGCCAACATATGAACGAAAAGGTTTTTGTTTTTTTTTTGTCTGTTTCTTGTACCACAAGTCAAAGGATTCTCATTAGAATGGGTCAACATTATGACGTAATGTATACGATGAACACGAGTTCAGATTAGCTAATGTAATTTACTTTTGTGGTGAGAGATGTTTTTGATGCTGAATCAATATTTTAACGACATGTGATCAGTTTTGTGTCTGAATCTGTGGCTAACTTAGCCCTAATGATGTTCTGTATTGATGATTGTTTTGTTTTGCTTGCAGGAGACGAAACATTTAACTTCTTACCTCGTTGAACTAAAGAAAGCTTCTGCAGAGGAGATGCGTAAGAGCGTCTATGCAAACTATGCAGCCTTTATAAAGTGCGTTGATCATTATAGGCAGAGTTCTTGTTGCTTGCTAGTTACGTTACAAATAGTTTTTTGATTTTACAGGACATCTAAGGAGATATCAGCACTTGAAGGACAACTTCTTTCAATGAGAAACCTTCTATCTGCACAAGCAGCTCTTGTTCACGGCTTAGCTGATGGGGTTCACATCAGCTCCCTATGTGCTGATGACGCTGATGACTTAACAGACCAAGAACTATACAATATGGAGAGCAAACAACTCTCGAAGATAGAGACTTGGGTTGTTGAGTTCTTTGACAGGCTTGAAGTTCTCTTAGCTGAGAAGAGAGTTGATGAATCCATGGCTGCTTTAGAAGAAGGACGTCGTGTGGCCATGGAAGCACAAGAGCAACGAACTCTAAGCCCAGACACTCTTCTTTCTTTAAACAATGAGATCAAAGCAAAGAGACAAGAGCTGGCTGATCAGTTAGCTGAAGCTATAAGCCAACCTTCCACAAGAGCAGGTGAGCTTAGAGCAGCTGTCTTGGCTCTCAAGAAACTAGGAGACGGCTCTCGTGCTCACACGCTCCTTCTTAGGTCTTATGATAAGAGGCTACAAGCCAACATTCAAAGCCTAAGAGGCTCCAACACTTCCTACGGTGTAGCCTTCGCTGCTGCTCTCTCTCAGCTTGTTTTCTCAACGATTGCTCAAGCTGCAAGCGACTCTCTAGCAGTTGTGGGTGAGGATCCATCCTACTCATCAGAGCTTGTCACGTGGGCCGTTAAACAAGCAGAGTCTTTCGCTCTTTTACTCAAAAGACATACTTTAGCTTCATCTGCTGCTGCAGGAAGCTTGAGAGTCACGGCAGAGTGTATTCAGCTCTGTGCAACTCACTGCTCTTCATTGGAGTCTCGCGGCTTAGCTCTTTCTCCTGTTCTGTTGAAACACTTTAGACCAGGCGTGGAGCAAGCACTCACTGGTAATCTCAAGAGGATTGAACAAAGCAGTGCTGCTTTAGCTGCTTCTGATGATTGGTCACTAGCCTATTCACCAACAGGATCACGCGCCTCATCGAGTACTCCCATTGCACCACATCTTAAGCTCTCTATAAGCGCTCAAAGATTCAACTCCATGGTTCAGGTACTCAACATTACCTCCACACAAAATCTTCATTTTTGTGTTGCATAGGCATGCGAGTTCGATTAGTTCCGGTTATTAGATCGGGTAGTTTTTCGGTTAGATCGGTTCAACATAAATTTTACAAAATTAATCCGAAATAAAGTTCAGTTCAGTATTCGATTAGTTCGGTTTTTGACAATCCTACCGAATTTTTTTATTTCGGTTAGATTTTGGTTTACTTTTGGTAAAATTTCTGATAAAATCGCTTAATTTCGGTGAAATTTTGTTAGTTTGATTATTTCGGTTCAAAATTATTTTGGTTCGGGTTCTTGTTATGCTTTGAGCATTAGAAATTTTTAAATAAGAAAACTGAAGTAACCAACTGCCAAACCAAACTGAACTGAAAGCCAATTTTTTAAAAAAACCTGCTGAATCAAACCGAACTAACTGAAACTTGGTTATGTTCAAAATCCCAGGCCTACTTGTTGTTTTAAGGTTAACTTATTGTCTGTGTGTATTTTAGGAGTTTCTGGAAGACGCTGGACCACTAGACGAAGCCTTACAGCTAGACGGTATCGCATTAGACGGTGTTCTTCAAGTGTTTAACGCATACGTAGACCTCTTGATCAACGCATTACCCGGTTCAGCCGAAAACGAAGAGAATCCAGTTCATAGAATAGTCAAAATAGCTGAAACCGAGTCTCAACAAACAGCTCTATTAGTCAACGCACTTCTCTTAGCAGACGAGCTAATCCCACGTTCCGCTTCAAGAATCTTACCACAAGGAGGAGGCACTAACCAATCCACACCACGTAGAGGAGCTTCCTCGGACAGACAGAACAGACCAGAGCAAAGAGAGTGGAAGAAAAAGCTTCAAAGATCGGTTGATAGATTACGAGACAGCTTCTGTAGACAACATGCTCTCGAACTCATCTTCACTGAAGAAGGAGAGGTTCGTCTCAGCTCCGAGATTTACATTCTTATGGATGAAACTACTGAAGAGCCTGAGTGGTTCCCGTCACCGATCTTTCAAGAACTGTTTGCGAAGCTGACGAGGATAGCGATGATTGTGAGTGATATGTTTGTGGGAAGAGAGAGGTTCGCGACGATATTGTTGATGAGGTTGACGGAGACGGTGATTCTTTGGATCTCTGATGATCAGAGTTTTTGGGAAGAGATGGAGACGGGAGAGAAACCGTTGGGTCCACTTGGTCTTCAGCAGTTTTATCTAGACATGGAGTTTGTGATGATATTTGCCTCACAGGGAAGGTACTTGTCGAGAAACCTTCACCAAGTTATCAAGAATATTATAGCTCGTGCTATTGAAGCTGTTTCTGCCACTGGACTCGATCCTTACACGTACGTGTTATATTTTACATGTTTTAAACATAAACTCGTGATTAAAATGATTGTATTAAACTAATGTAATGATGATGGAAACAGGACGTTGCCGGAAGAAGAGTGGTTTGCTGAGGTGGCTCAGATAGCAATAAAGATGTTGACCGGAAAAGGTAACTTCGGTGGCCACGGTGAGCGTGACGTCACTAGCCCCTCTGTTTCCTCTGCTAAGTCTTACACCAGCAACTGACTAGTCTAATAAAATTGAACCATTAATCAACGTTGACTTAGAGTTACACCTTTATATTTTCACATTAATTATTTTTGAGTAAATTGGGTGAAAAACCATAGAAAATGCACAAATTAAGGATGTACCCATAACATAAAAATTGTATAGTAATGGGTATATGCTAATGACGAAAAAACCCTTTCCCACTTGCACAATAAACTTCTGACGATTTTTGGTATATAGGATGTATAGGTGTATCAAAATTAATTAGATTTTAGTAAGATTTTGTATAGATATTGTGTAGATATTGGAAGATATTATCAGATTGCATCGGTAAAAATAACAGAAACAGTAGCAACTTCAGGCGATTTCCCATCCACATATTCTCTGACGCAAGTGGCACATACCAAAAAGGAATCAAACTCAAAGATTTGTCTCTTCTATTTACACACGCTGGTATACATGGTGTGAGGCATTAGGTTTTTCAATACTAGTCTAACATGTACATACAAAGTTTTACGAAACATATTGGACGGCTAACAAAAATACTTGTCCTTTAAAAATAATAAATTTCAGGTATTATCTTCTCCATTTCATATAAAATGTTCCAATTATATTTACTCTCTATTGTAGTATATATAATTGGACGGCTAAAAAAAAACTTACCCTTTAAAAAATATT